CCCCCCCCCCCCTCTCCCCCACTCCATCATTTTTCCTTCACCCATCCTCTCTCCCCCATTCATCCCTCCCCATGGGTGGTTGGTGTGTGCTCTGGTGTGGTTAACTTCTTCTTTCCTTTCAAACATCTGTCTTTTTTTTAAAAATCTCTCCTCCTTCTTTTCTTTTTATGTTACTGTCTAGTTAGTTATCTGAGCTTCGACACTTATATGACCTATTCGTGTTGCAAGTGACCTAAAACTTTTACTAATTTCCTACCGCGCTCATATGACCTTCTTCTGTTGCAAGTGCCGTGAAACACTTAAAAAAGAAACCCCAAAACAATAACAACAACAACAACAACTAAAACGAAACTTATTACATGTACCACTAAACATCCCTCTCCAGGCCGCCATTACTGGTATGACGTAAGAAGAGACATGAGCTGCGACAGTCTCTTCCCCGTTTTCCTCCTCTACAACTGGGGTCGACTTACAGCCTTCGGGTGGGCCATGGTCACCGACCTCAGCTCACTGAGATATGAACACCCTTCTGCGGCAGTACTACAGGTTGGTCAAAATCAAGATCAGATTATGTTTTGGGTGGTTGGTGGATGTTCTGGTGTGGTTTCTCCTTCTTTTCTATCAAACACCTATCGTCTTTATCTATCCTTTTTGTATTTGTTACTTTCTTGTAACACCTCGAATCTTCTGCACTTACCTGATCTAATTGTGTTGCAACTGCCGTTAAATGCTTAGATCTACTTTTAAAAAAAGGTGTAGTTTCAGTTCTATCAATCCTTCCATTTCAAACCAAATCTCCAGAAGTAATATCCCTCTCCAAAAGTACAGGACAAAGGGCAGTGCAATATGACTGTAGTTAAGTGTGTTTCTATTAGAATTACTACGAACGCCTTACTTTTCGTTTGGAAAAACATCCTTTCATTTTTTCACAACCATACGCAGGCAAAAGTAAAAATCAATTAAAAAAAAAAAAAAAACATCCGAGGGTCAACAGAATTTAAGACATCTTGTTTTTATTGGATGGCTTCATTTCAAATAACATACCGGTACATTAGTCTATAGTTAGTAATTCAGCACTTTATAGACCAGAACAAACCGTGTGTGCATGAACGGTTGTTAAAAATATTATTACCGAAGAGGTAGCCAACTGTCTACTTTCAAAATTTCAAAACAATTCTGTTTGTGTTTACTAAAAATATATCCGCCCCCCCGCCTCCCCCACCCCGGGATGTACAACGTTGTAGCCTATTAAACCTGCTGTGGTATATTATTTTCAGTTTATATCTTTATTGCTTTCACAGGCATTCATCAAGGAGCCACCGACGTGCCTATTCCAGATGAAAGCAATATCTACCATGCACATTTACCTCATTGACGATGCTCATCTGAGTCCATGCTAACAGAAAGACGACAGACACATAGATAACAAGAAAGTCAGACATGGGGACGGACGGACGGACCGACGGGCGGACAGACAGACAAACAGACAGACAGACAGACAGACAGACAGACAGACAGACTGACAGACAGACAGACAGACAGACAGACAGACAGACAGACAGACAGACAGACAGACTTTTATTTCAGTTTCAAGACTTTTGCTAGAGCTGCAGATTGGCTGTTTCCTAGACGGAACATTTGGTCAAGAAGTTGTTATAAAAAAATTAAAGAACTGAAAAAAAAACCCAAGACAGAGACGATAGCAAAGTAAACATTTATCGTGATCTTCTGAGCAATCAATAACACGGATGGTGCTGGAACAGTCCCTGTAACGTTGGTCATCATAGAAAGCATCCCACATCACAGTATTTTTTTCTACAAAATAAAACCAGATGATAAATTACGAGCCTTCGACGTTTTCGAATCTTTTTAGACTTATAGAAGATCTTTGGTCACGTGTGTTGTTCAGCGTCTGAAGTGTGACTTCTCGTCGTTGTAGGTAAAAGACATGAGTTCGATTCCAGTTTGCAGAAGACGATTTCACCGAGCATTCCCGTCTCTTTGCAGGGTCGAAGCAGCCCACCTCCTAAATTATCCCAGAAGTATCGACAGTGCTTACATCAAATCAGCCGTGTTCTGTCAGCTTTTTCAACATTTACATCATCCTAAGCTGCAATGTTTGCAGCCTCGTTTTGCAAGCACAGCGGATTCTTTTCACGGAGATGTAGTAATCTAATCGCTTCGTATAACATATAGTATATTAGTACATTGTATAATGCCTTCTTCGATTCTGAACTACGTACAAATGGGGTTACATGTACACGTCTATATATTTGCAAAAAATATCTCGTGAAGCCATTTAATTTATATCATGGGTAGAGCGAACTTGAATAGATCTACCTAAGCGCAACATTATCTCAGAGGTATCAAGTTGAACAGCAATGCGGATAGACCTTGTCGAACCCAGGTCGAAGCGTTCTTGAATTTGGGTAGTTGGGAGATTTTCATGCCCCCCCCCCC